TTTTAAATATTCTTATCTTTATTAATTTCAGAGAGGAAGGGAGAGGGAGAGAGAGATAGAAACATCAATGATGAAAGAGAATCATTGATCGGCTGCCTCCTTCCTGCATGCCTCCTACTGGGGATCGAGCCTGCAACCCAGGCTTTTGCCCTTGACCGTATCGAACCCGGGATCCTTCAGTCCACAGGCCGACGCTCTATCCACTGAGTCAAACCAGCTAGGGCTCTACTCTTATTTTTAAGGAAAACAAATTATTTATATAATCAGAAGGAAGAAAAAAAAAGAGCATTCTTTAGTTAAGACTCCAGGAAGACAAACAACTCACCACAGAAATGGCAACCTAAGAAGGCTCGATTTAAAGAAGAAACTCAAGCCTGACTGGTGTGGCTCAGCAGTTAACCTATGAACCCAGAGTTCACTGTTCGATTCCCAGTCAAGGCACATGTCTGGGTTGTGGGCTCAATCTCCAGTGGGGGGAGGGGACATGCAGGAGGCAGCCAATCAATGATTCTCTCTCATCATTGATGTTTCTCTCTCTCTCTCCCTCTCCCTTCCTCTCTGAAATCAATAAAAATATATTTTAAAAAATAAAGAAAAAGAAGAAACTCAACACTTAAGGTATTCAAGACAAAACTTCTGTTGGCCTAATAATCAGTTACCAAACAAAAATTTGTTAATTTCTTCAAATGTGTATTAAGAACCACATGCCGCCCTAACCGGTTTGGCTCAGTGGATAGAGCGTCAGCCTGCAGACTGAAGGGTCCTGGGTTCAATTCCGGTCAAGGGCATGTACCTTGGTTGCGGGCAGATCCCCAGTAGGGGGTGTGCAGGAGGCAGCTGATCGATGTTTCTCTTTCATCGATGTTTCTAACTCTCTATCCCTCTCCCTTCCTCTCAGTAAAAAAATCAATAAAATGTTTTTTTTTTTAAAAAAGAACCACATGCCAAGCAATATGTTGACCATGAGGGTTCCAAAATGAGTAAGACAGTCCCTGACCTCCTAAAAACATACAGGTTAGTAAAGAAGACAGACAAGAAAACAACATGATAGGTTCATGCAGGAAAAGCTATGAGGTGAGCACACTGAGGACGCCGTGTTAGGGAAGCCCAGGAAGGGCCCTTCAATCAGGATCAGCTCTTAGTTTCTCAGATGACTTCACACCACCCTCTTGGGAGCAAAGCCAACTCTTCCACTAAGTTAATAGTGCTTTGGGAATGAAGGGGTGCAAAATACTACCTATGGGGGCGGATGTAAAGGGGGAGAGGGAGGGAGGGAGGGAGAGAGAGAGAGAGAGAGAGAGAGAGAGAGAGAGAGATCAACTTGAGAGAGACACATAAATTGGTTGCCTCCCACGTGTGCCCCTACCAGGGCTGAAGAACCTGCAACCCTTCGGTCCTAGGCCTAGGCCAGCCGTGGGCAAACTACGGCCCGCAGGCCGGATCCGGCCCATTTGAAATGAATAAAACTAAAAAAAAAAAAAAAAGACCGTGCCCTTCTATGTAATGATGTTTACTTTGAATTTATATTAGTTCACACAAACACTCCATCCCTGCTTTTGTTCCGGCCCTCCAGTCCAGTTTAAGAACCCATTGTGGCTCTCGAGTCAAAAAGTCTGCCCACCCCTGGCCTAGGCTGATGCTCTCCAGTGGTTCTCAACCTTCCTAATGCCGCGACCCTTTAATACAGTTCCTCATGTTGTGGTGACCCAACCATAAAATTATTTTCGTTGCTACTTCATAACTGTAATTTTGCTACTGTTATGAATCATAATGTAAATATCTGATATGCAGGATGTATTTTCATTGTTTGCAACCCACAGGTTGAGAACCGCTGCACTGATTCAAATCAGCCAGGGCACCATCCATAATTGTATAAAGAAATCTGTTATCAACTTAAATTAGTAAGTTAGACCAATTAGTGAAGGGGATGAAGTCCAAGCCCAATAATGAGTTTAAATTGTGGAATGAATGCCTTGAGCAATTTTTTCTCTTCAAGACTGCAGGAAAAATAAAAAATAACCTTCTTGACTGCTGAGGAGGGCTAAACTCATTTATTTTTCACAAGTATGCAATAAAAAGTAATTACTTTTGCTCCCACTAAACACAAAGCAATACCATCTCTCCCTCTCATCACCACCAAAACATCCTATATTTGAGTACTTTAATCTTACACCATAAGAATCTCAGATTGCGGCCCAGCCAGGTGTGGCTCAGCAGATGAGCGTCGACCCAGGAACTAAGAGGTCACTGGTTGGATCCCTGGTCAGGGCATATACCCGGGTTGCGGGCTCTTTTCCCAGTGGTGCGTGCAGAGGCAGCCAATCAATGATTCTTTCTCATCATTGATGTTTCTATCTCTCCCTCTCCCTTCATCTCTGAAATCAATAAAAATATATTTTTTTAAAAAAAAAGAGCAACTGGACTTAAAAGAATCTCAGATTGTGCCCACTGGTGTGGCTTAGTGATTGAGCATCTACCTATGAACCAGGAGGTCATGGTTTGATTCCCGGTCAGGGCACATGCCCAGGTTTGGGGCTCAATCCCCAGTGGGGATTGTGCAGAAGGCAGTCAATCAATGATTCTCTCTCATCATTGATGTTTCTATCACTCTCACTTCTTCTCTGAAATCAATAAAAATATTTTTTTAAAAGAATCTCAGATTGCAATCAAGTTACAATGCAACAAAAACATATTTCTCTAAGTATGTTCTCATCCCCCATGGTGTTCCTATAGTAATTTAGCTCCCTAAGTAAGTATTAACAATCAAGGAAATCAGAAAATTCTTAGAATAGATATGATAAGCTATTTGGGGTTTTTTAAAAAATGTTATTGTTCATGGATTCCAAAGTTCAGAATACATACTACGAGGAAAGTGTTTCTAATTTTTCAATGCCCGAATTTAAATGCAAATTACTATTTAATTATATGCAATTTTCCCTCTAAACCTATGTATGCGAATCAATCTCCAGATGTTTTTAAAAAAACAAACTCATCATGTTTACTAAAAAAGTGTATTGCCTAATAACCAAAAAGTTCTAACGTATCAAAAAAGTGATCACTGTCAGCTCTACCCATGAATGACAGTTTGACTGACAGACAAGCTGTTCTGAAAAGATTAGGAACTTCCAGTGATGGCAGGAGGCACGTAGAGTATCTGTAGCTACTTTAATAATAAAACTGTTTCAACATAAAAAATTCAGAGACTACAAAGTCATATATGTGAACTGCAAGCTATCTAAATGCATGCATGTTTAAAAAGAAAGAAGTAAATAAATAAATAAACAAATAATAAATAAAAAATAAAAAGAAAGAAGCAGGACAAAAACTGTCTATACTCAAATCAACATGAGGAATCATCCTTCCTTTGAGCTTTTTAAGAATTGAAAACTTAATAAGGTTCTTTAGGTTATCAACTCATTTCCAAAATAGAGCAAAAAATATATACACACATTTTGAATAATTATAAAGGCAGTATCTATTAAAATACACTTCTTTTTAAGCTATCAGCTGTTATAGTTTGTATACACTTGGGGGACATCCTGTATATTAAAATACAATTGACACAAAATAATACCACCACATAGTCTATGTTGGAAGACACAATCACAATAATAGGATTTACTTGTGATGGACACACAGTTCTAGGGACTTCACATTTTAACATATTTAGTGTTAACAACATCCCTGTAAGACAGGTAGTATTATGATTACATCCATTTATACAAATGAAGAAACTGAAGCACAGATACATGGACACCCCCAATGTCATATAGCTGGTAAGAAGCAGAGAATGGATTTTAGCCACATCAGTCAGACTCCAAAGTTCATGTTAACCAACCCACTACAGTAAGGGTCATGCAATAGTCGGCTTTTTTTTTTTTTAAACCTTTTTGAATCTCAAACACTAGGATAGCTTTGCAATAAAAAAAAAAAGTACAGGCTTTGGATTCAAACAGACTCAAATAACCCCCCCGAATAAAGTCTGAATCTCAGCTTCCTCATATGTAAAATGAGGATACTTAAGTTATCGTGGAGGTCAAAGAATATAAAGTGCCAGGTACAGTATACAAGATAGACGTAAGCTCACAGACACCTAGCGGATCCACGGCTGGACTTCGCAATCCACGTGTCTCATAAATTGAGGAACAGATACTGTACGTGTACCCATTTTTTAAGAATCGCCCCTGGCTTTCCATAACCTTTCAAGGGGTACGTGATCTCCAGAAGGTTACACAAGCCACCGGAGTACATAGCAGGTACGCAAAATATGAGTTATCTTTCCCTTCTTGTCCTCTAAAACGCCCCCTTTCCCACTAGGAATGATACACCCAGGCTTCACAAGAAATCTCCACTATTCCCCACCATTTCCCTGGCTTGGTAACTCGTTTTCTAAAGGACCCCGAACCGCTGCTTCATCCCTCCCTTCTCCGAGAGAAACAAAAGGTGTTCACTCGGGAAGACTCTTGGACTCTCGCCCACCAGCTGCAGAAAGCACCGCGCGGGCAGGAGAACCGGGCAGGAACCAGAGCTTCCGAGCGGCACCACGGAGACCTGACGCCCAGCGCCGCGGGAGGGAGGAGTGCGTTTCCCAAAACTACCGGACCACCCGAATTCCGCCCCCGGTGCCCCCTGCCCCACCCCACACACCCAGTCCTCTCTCGGACTCCGGTGCAGGCGGGTCCTCCGGCTCTGCCTCGCGCGGGAGCGGCGGGGAGAGAGACGTTACCAGAGCTGGAGGGCGCAGCGCGACGACGTCCCAGCTCCGCTGCCCCAACGGGCGGCGCCGCCCCCGGCAGAAGACCGGCCCTCGGCTCGCCCCACAAGGGATCCAAGTGCAGATCTCCACCCGGGCTGGAAACCGGCTCCGGGCTTTTCCGTTTTCCAAAGCGGCTTCCGCTTCCGGGCTAGCCTTTGCCGGAAACAGTCTATGGGTGACGTAAAAGTGTCGCGCCGGCGGTGATTCCGGAAGAAACAAGAGTGCGGCGTGAACATGGTGAGAGGGGAGGACTGAGAAGGGATGTGGTCCGACCGCGTTTGAGCGGAGATTGAGGGGGTCATCCCCCGGCCAGTGTTCATGCTCCTGCTTGTTTTCATTCTAATCTTAGCTCTTAAACTGCTCCAAGCGGGGCCTGTAATGCTCCAGCGAGCAGGGAGTGGGCCGGGTTGGGGCAGAGAGGATCAGAGGAACTGGGTTGTTTGAGGGAAGCAGGGAAGGGAATGGGCAAAAGAAAGGAAGGAACTCAAGAACATGGGATGTATTTTCCGACTCTTAACTCTAAAATTTCTGTTTCAAGGGGAAGCAAAAGAAAACAAGGAAGTATGCGACCATGAAGCGAATGCTTAGTCTCAGAGATCAGAGGCTGTGAGTGTCTGGAATCAACGGGGTTCATAGACTGCCCAAAGATGTAGAAGTCACGAGGGGATAAGTAGCTAAAACTTTTGTTGTTACTTTGCATTCACTTTTAATAAATAGCATTGTGTCTTGGATGTATGTATATAGCATGAGATAGTCTAGTGTATAACAGCCACTTAGCTGCTGAAGGAGTACGCTGGTGAATGGGGCTGGAATTAAACATCTAAGCGTTCACTTTGTGCCACCATTTTTATATATTTTACCTACCATATCACATTTAAGCCTCCTAATATTTCTGTGAAGTGGGTGGGATTATATTTATGTTCTTGTCATTAGACTACTACATTCGATAGGAAAAATAATGTTATAATTGTTGAAGGAAGGTGAGGTCAGAGGTGATCATTGTCTTGTGTCTCCAGCACCTGACACTCAAATATTTTTGAAAGAAAGAATGGGAAACACCTAGATGTCTTCACTTTATAAATTTCATAAGAATTCAGATGACTGTGGAAGAAGAAAGTGGAATGATGTTCCCTATTATAAGGAGGGTGTGAAAAGCTTCACAGCTTCAGTGAAGAATGGACAAAGTTAGTAAGGACTGGGATTGTGTTTAAGAGTCTCAATACAAATGAATGGCCATTAGAGCTTTCAGAGTTATTAAATTGTATTTTCTGCCTTCAGTGTGTGTATTATGTAATTTTTAGGAAATTTCCCATTAATAATACTTTATTTCTAGTTAAAGGTTAAATTTTGTATTTGTATGGTTACATTTTAGCCCTCTATAAAAGGTGCATGGGGATTCCTCCCTCGTTCCTACTGTTGAAGCATCTGAAGACAAACATCAGCCTTTTTACCCACTGCTAGAAAGTGGATTTTGATCTTTGATAAAAAGCTTCTGACTAAAGAAGAAATGATAGTATAACCAACATTTATTTATCCATTAAAAAATGTTATGGGTTTTTGGCGAGAGATTGTTAAATTTAATTATGTCTAATGAATTATGTAAACTTCCCACACAGTTATTTGTGCTCAAAAATATATGTATTTATATTAATGTAAAAAATGTATGCTTAGCCCTAGCCAGTTTGGCTCAGTGGATAGAGTGTCGGCCTACCGACTGAAGGGTCCCAGGTTCAAATCTGGTCAAGGGCACATACCTGCAGTCTCCATCCAACGTGCAGGAGGCAGCCGATCAATGATTCCCTCTCATCATTGATGTTTCTATCTCTCTCTTCCTCTTCCTTCTTCTCTGAAATCAATTTTTAAAAATCTATTAAAAAATGTATGCTTATACTAATGTAAAGAAGTCACAAAGTAAGATTTTCTCTGAAGACAAAAAGAAACTTTAAATTTTGAATGAGATTATAACTACTATTGGTTTTTCTTTCCTGCATTTAATTTACTTTTTTTTCCCTAGTAAAGAAAAGGATAGATTAAAACCTAAAAAGAAAGAAAAAAAAGATCCCAGTGCACTCAAAGAAAGAGAAGTGTGAGTAATCAACATTTTCACGTTTTCCTTTAAAACATTCTAAAACCATAGACCCCTTAGAAATCCAGGATTTCCCGAACTGATTTGCTCAGTCATTTCTAAGTCTAGCACAACTATGCATATGAAAGTGATATTGATAAGCATATACCAACTCCAATGGTTCAAATGTTTTTATTTCATGGAGCAGTAAAATTTTCTTTAAAATCCTGGGGATTAAATCTAATATCATTATTTGTTTTCTTTGCCAAGAATCTTTCAAAAGAAATAATGGTCATTGTTTAACACACTGGCATTTCTTAAAAGAGAGAATGTATCATCAAAAAAATAGTAAGACCATATTTTTAGAATAAAGGTTATTTCTTGTAAATAAATACATTTAATTTTTTGAAACCTCATCACATTTTGCTTATTTTCCTCATTTTGCCCTAGTATGGTGATGGATAAACCATCACAGGATTTATCTCCAAGAACAAAGAAAAAAGAGCTTAATGTAGAGCAATCTGTTCCAAGTAGAGACTCTTTTTGTTCATACCAAAGTATCAATGTAGGTATTACTTTGTGTTTTGTTTCTTTCTCTTTCAGCCCCCAACACCCCTCCTGCTTATTCTTCCAATATAACACACAGCTAGGCCCACCTTACCACATCCTTGTTGATACCAACTTTATCAACTTTTCCATTAAGGCCAAACTGGACTTAGTGCAGTCAATGATGGATTGTCTCTATGCCAAGTGTGAGTATCATACTTTTACATTTCTGTGACGTTTATACAGAATAATCATATTTATCCAAATACATGAAAAGAGGGGAATGGGGTTCTAGTTAACTTAATTGCTGGGCATTTAATGTGCTCACCATAGCAATGACCATTTTTAATAAATTGAAGTCTAATGCAAACTTGACTGGGAATAAATTCTCTCAATTCAGAAAACACTTAGTGTGCTTAGGTACTTATTATGGACAATACCTTTGAAAATACTAGGGGAATTTTCTGTTTCCTAATTCTGGATTTTAAAATTCTGGATAAATGAGTAGCCCTTGCCAGTGTGGCTCAGTTGGTTGAAGCATCATCCTGTACACCAAAAGGTGGCAGGTTCGATTCCTGGTCAGGGCACAAACCCAGGTTTCGGGTTTGATCCCTGGTCAGGATGCATATGGGGGTAGCCAGTGGATGTTTCTCTCTCACATCAGTCTCTCTCTCTCTCTCTCTCTCTCTCTCTCTCTCTCTCTATCTCTCTATCTCTCCCTCCTTCTCTCTCTCCCTCCCTTCCTCCCTCCCTCCCTCCCTCCTTTGCTCTCTCTAAAATCAATAAAAAATTAAGTAAGTAAAATTTGGGATAAATGAAAATTTATTATATTTCTCAGTATATATATTCTTATTATTTTACATTGAGGAGGAAGCCTTCATTCCACTCCAGTATAGAAAAGCGAAATAAGACTTTTTGTCATTTACAATCACAGAACCGGAAGTGATGATGGTCACTGCTTCCTACTTTGGTGTTTATTTGTACCACAAAGGATCTGGGGTAGTTTACACCTAGGTATACGGTTTACCATTAATAAATGTCCCTTGAGTATTTAGATGTCCTTTCCTTCAAATGGTCTTCCCTCACTATCGTGAATAGGGAAAAGAAAATTGAGGCCATATAAAAAGGAATAACTTACTAATAGCGAGATCTGTTGCATTTTGTGGTGAGTTTATATTCATAATATTTTCCAGTCATCTGGTTAAAGGGACAAGTGAAAAGTAGACTTATGCTTTTCCATAATGAATGAATTATTGGAATCAAAGGAAAAATTTGCACCTCCTTCAATATTTAAAAGATACTATAATGAGTAACATAGAATGATAGTAATGTAAACGTTTATTGATGTATTAAAACTAGCAAGATGGTATAAGGATATGATAGATAAAAACTAAATTCTTTAAATGTCTGAAATGAATAAATGTAAAAAGTGTGGCTCTAGCTGGTTTGGCTCAGTGGATAGAGCTCCAGCCTGCAGACTGAAGGGTCCCAGGTTTGATTCTAGTCAAGGGCACATGCCCAGGTTGTGGGCTCAGTCCCCAGTGTGGGGCGTGTAGGAGGTGCTGATCGATGATTCTATCTCATCAATGATGTTTCTATCTCTCCCTCTCCCTTCCTCTCTGAAATAAATAAAAAATATATATATTTTTTTAAAAAGTGTGCCTGAAAAAAAAAAAAAAAGTGTGCCTGGCCTCAATGGCTCAGTAGTTGAGCATCGACCTATGAATTAGGAGGTCACGGTTCGATTCCTGGTCAGGGCACATGCCCTGTTTGAAGGCTCCATTTCCAGTGTGGGGCATGCAGGAGGTATCCAGCCAATGATTCTGCCTCATCATTGATGCTTCTATCTCTCTCTCTTTCTCCCTCTCTGAAATCAATAAAAATATTTTTTGAAATCAATAAAAATATATAAATTTTTTAAGTGACTACAAAGTTTATTATGTTAATATACGAAGGTAACTACCAAGTGAGGAAAACAGCTAATAGAGTAAAATAATTACCTTTTTAAGGATCAGAATTGATGGGGTAGGGAAGTTTCAGGGGACTGCTACTTGTTCATATAGGCCTTTCTGTATTTCTTTTTAAAGCTATGTATATGTAATACTTTAAATTTTTTTAAAATCTCTTAGAAATAATAAAGATTAGTCTCAAGTTGGGGCACTAACATGACTGTAAGAGTGAACTAAGCAGTCCCTTTATGAGGAAAGACACTAAACTTGGTAGACTTCTTGTATTTCTATGGTGTTTCTTATAGTTGTCTTAGCTGCTTCTCCAGCTTCTCAGGAATGCTGTGACCTGTTTGTAAATGAGATGGATCAAGGGTACAAGCCTGGCCCTTGGAGGTGAACTGTTTCCTTAATGCTGTAGCTCCACCATTATTATCTACATGATGATTGTTTAAGAGAGCTTTAGCCCTGTTTAGGCTTTCTCTAGATATGGATGCTTTAGAGGACAGCTATAATGCCTTTTCTAAAAACAAGCTTATTAAGGAGGATACCACTTTTTGCAGTCTTTTGTGTATCATAATACCTCAAACTAAATGCTGAAGAAACATTTAAGTAAGTGCAAACTCACTTACCTAGGAGAATAATTGTTTTAAACTCTGCTTACTAATTTTTCTTCACTTGCCTTTATACTTAAAGGAAGGCCTTTATCTTCTTCTTGCCTTGAAGATGTCCCTTTGACCTTCTCATAGCTCCTGGGATATTCCATTTCCATCTGCTACTCCAACAAGAAAGAATAGTTAGTTTCCCATCTGCTTTCTTTTATGCCCATCAGTCCTCTTTCCTATTACTTTCCATTTCTTTATAGTGATTTTAACATTTCTGTACTTTGCTTTCAAAAGTATTAATGTACTTGAAAAAATATATAGCATTAAAAAAAAATGAAAGTTCCCTATAATGCCTTACCTCAGAGAGGGTCGGTTTTAAAAATTCATATACAATCTCTGTACGGTGAAGGTTGTTTTTCTTTTAATGAAAACAGATCATACATTACTTACTATGTATGTTTGTGCTTTTTTTTTAACTGCTTTGAGATATGTCATATACTATGTAATATGCCCATGTATAATAATAAAAGCATAATATGCTAATTAGACCGGACATCCTTCCAGACAAAGCCGCAGCAGCAGGGGCCGAGGCAGAGACCCCCCAGCCACCGCGGCGGACGGTGCATTGGGCTTCTAGTTTAAAGTATATAATTCAATGGATTTTAGTGTATTCATAGTCAATATTTTAAAATTTTCACTACTGCCCTGGCCAGTGTGGCTCAGTCAGTGGGCGCCGTCCCATGCACCAAAGGGTTGCTGGTTCGGGATCAGTTCCCTGTCAGGGAACCTGCCCAGGCTTTGAGCTCTATCCCAGTAGAGGGCATGTGGTGGGTGACCAATCAGTGCTTTGCTCTCACATCAAAGTTTCTCCCTCTCTCTTCCTATCTCTCTGAAAATCAATTTTTTAAAACCCACATTTTTATTTATTAAAAAAACCCACAAAACTGTGGATCCTTAGCCAACATCCCTAAACTCTTCCCTTTCCCACCATTCCTAGGCAACCACAATTTGCTTTCTGTCTTGTAGATTTGGCTATTCTGGACATTTCATTAAAATGGGATCATATACAGAGGCAGAGCTGCCTCAAACAGACTGTCAAACTGCAGCAGGAAGGCTGGGGAGGGTTGCGGGGCAGGAGGTAGGGGGGTAAGAGATCAACTAAAGGACTTGTATGCATGCATAGAAGCATAACCAGTGGACATAAGACATTGGGGGATAGGGGAGGCTAGGGGACTGTCTAGGGCGGGGGGATAAAAATGGACACATATGTAATACCCTTTGTAATACTTTAAGCAATAAAAAAAAAAAATAAAAAATAATAAAAAAAAAAATAAAAAAAATAAAAATAAAAACAAATCAACATGAAAAAAAAAAAAAAAAAATGGGATCATAAAATATTTGTCCTCTTTTATTGAGCACAACATTTTCAAAAGTCACCTATGTTAAAGCATGTACAGCATTTCTTTGTATTACCAAGTAATAGTCTATTGTATGGATAGATCACATTTATCCATTTCTCCTTGCTTTTTATATTGAAAAAATATATCATGAATGTTTTTCTGTCAGTAATTCTAGTTTTTACCCTGTTATAAACAAGGCTGTAGTGAATATGTCTGTGTTAAAGTGAAGTATTTTAGAGAGGGAGAGGGAGAGAGAAAGATATGTTGTTCCACTTATTTATGTTTTCATTGGTTGATTCTTGTATGAGCCCTGACCAGGAATCGAACCCACAACCTGTGCCTGTGCCCTGACTGGGAACTGAACCGTGACCTCCTGGTTCGTAGGTCAGTGCTCAACCACTGAGCCACATCAGCCGAGCTCATGGGTCTTCCTGAGATTCTTGGCAGGATATAATTCAGAGAGAGTAAAATCAGTTTATTCACAAGTTCTTTTATTAATATGTGGGTATTTTTTTCTGGCAGGTATCCCCTGTATAACTGACTGTGTAATGGCTGAAATTGAGAAATTGGGGCAGAAGTATCGAGTGGCTCTAAGGTAGGAAGAAGCTGGTTGGTCTAGATTTGTTCTAGGTTGGTATACTGAATATTCTTTTGACCTTTCTTCATCTGTTTGCTGTCCAAAGATTTCTTAGCTGAGTAGATTAAATAAAAGTATAAAATTAGTTAACTATGGTCAAGAACACAAACATTTGAAGGCTAGAGACATTTTAAGCTGAAGCCTTTTTTAAAAATTACATTTATTGGGAAACATTAGTTAATAACATTATATACACGTTTCAGATGTACAATTGTATAATACAACATCTGTATATCCCATTATGTGCTCATCACCCAAAGTCTAGTCTTCTTTTGTTGCCATATGTTTGACCCCTTTTACTCTCTTCACCATATTCCTCCTACCCCCTTCTCCTCTGTTAACCACCATACTGTTGTTTGTGACTTTTGTTTATTCATTGGTTGCTTTTTGTTTTATATCCCACATATGAGTGAAATCATGTGGTTCTTGTCCTTTGCTGTCTTATTTTGCTTAACATGATACTCTCAAGGTCCATTCATGTCACAAATGGCAATATTTCACGTTCTTTATGACTAGTATTCCATTGTATTTGTGTGCACAGTATCTTTATCTAGCCATCAGTCGAAAGATGCTTAGGTTGTTTCTATGTCTTGGTTATTGTGAACTGAGTTACTTAGTCATATTGATCTTGTGGGCCTCCTTTTAATTCGATTTTCAATTAGAAAGTGTCTTCCTATTAGTTTATCTAGACAGCTCCTTTGGAGTCGCACAGTTAGAGAATTCATATTCTAAGTTTTGAGTTTACTCTAGAAAGTACCCTTGAATTTAGAGTAGCAGTTCCCAAAGTATGGTCATGGACCCCTAGGAGTCTCAGAGACCTTTGCAGGGAGTTTGCAAAACCATTTTCATAATAATATGAAAACATTGCCTTTATACTGATGTGGAAATGCTGGTTTGGTGCCTTAGTACAAATCAAAGCAATGGACCAAATAATGCTATTTGTATTTTTTGTTTGTTTTTAACCCACTGGCAATTTTTTAAAAAGCCCTGGCTGGTGTGGCTCAATTGGTTGGGCTTCAACCCATACTTGTAAACTGAAAGGTTGCTGATTTGATTCCTGGTCAGGGTACATGCCCAGGTTTCTGGCTGAATCCCAGGTAGAGGGCGTGCAGGAAGCAGCTGATCAATGTTGCACTCTCACATCAATGTTTCTCTCTCTCCCTCTCCTTTCCTCTTAAAAAACCCCACAAAGAATAAATTTTAAATAGCCAGAGTCATTTAAGAATGTTCTTAATGAAACAATCGATTTTGTTAACTTTACTAACTCTCCTTTCTAGAGTACATATCAGTGTTCCTTGTGATAATGTGAAGTGCACACAAAGCACTTCTGATGCCAAAAGATGAAGGTTGCTCATTGAAAAGCATTTGTGTGCTTGTTTGAGTTGTGGGCTGAACCAGCTGCTTTTTCATGGAATATAATTTTGTTGTTGTTGTTGTTAATCCTCACCTGAGGATATTTTTTCTATTACTCTACAAAGAGAGTAAAAGGGAGGGAGGGAAAGAGGGATTAGGGGAGGAAGGAAGGGAGAAAGAGAGAGAGAGAGAGAGAGAGAGAGAGAGAGAGAGAGAGAGAGAGAGAGAGAGAAAGAAACACTGATGTGAGAGAGACACATCGACTAGTTGCCTCCCACACAAGCGAACCAGCAACCTAGGTACGTGCCCTTGACCAGGAGTTGAACCCACGAGTCTTGGTGCACAGGCTGATGCTCTTAACTACTTAGTCACACCAGCCTGGGCTGGAATGTAATTTTATGTGAAGAACTGACAGACTGATATTTTACGCTTTGCTATCTAGCAGATATCTTCTCAAAAATGCAATAAACCTGTCACTAAGGAAAACAACTTACTGTATTAGTTACCAGTGATAAAACTCGAGCTTACAAGTGAAAATTAGAATTTTGGAAAATCATGAGCTTATCACATTCCCAATACTAAAGACTTTTCTGTTGAGACCAGTGATTATAGTAATGAGTATGATTTTTTAAAATATATAATTCTTTATAAAGTTAAAAGTATTACATATGTCCCCTGTTTTCCCCCATTGACCCCCTCCCTCCTGCCCCAGGCTTTTGGCACCCTATTGTTTGTGTCCATGGGTTATGCATATATGCATACAAGGTCTTTGGTTGATTACCTCCCACTCACCCACCCTCCCCCACCTTCCTCTGAGATTCCCTCCTCTGTCTCTGGATCCACTCCGTTCATCTGTTTATTTTGTTACTTAGACTCCACATATGAGTGCGATCATGTGATACTTGTCTTTTTCTGACTGACTTATTTCACTTAGCATGATATTCTCCAGGTCCCTCCATGCTGTCTTTTTTATTGCTGCATAGTATTCCATGGTATAAATGTACCACAGCTTTTTTTTTTTTTAAATATATTTTATTGATTTTTACAGAGAGGAAGGGAGAGGGATAGAGAGTTTGAAACATCTCTGAGAGGGAAACATCTTCTATCAGCTGCCTCCTGCACACCTCCCACTGGGGATGTGCCCGCAACCCAGGTACATGCCCCTGACCGGAATCGAACCCGGGACCCTTCAGTCCGCAGGCCGACGCTCCATCCACTGAGCCAAACCGGTTTTGGCCTTTGTCTATTTTTTAATTGGATTGTTTGTCTCCTTTTGTTAAGTTGTATGAGTTCTTATATATTTTGGATATTAACCCTTTATCAAATGTATCATTGCCAAATATGTTCTCCCATACAATGGGCTCTCTTCGTTTTGTTGATGGCTTCTTTTGCTGTGCAGAAGCTTTTTATTTTAATGGAGTCCATTTGTTTATTTTCTCCTTAGTTTCCTTTGCCTTAGGAGATGTATGTGTAAACACATTGCTACAAGAGATGTCTGAGATTTTGCTGCCTATGGTTTCTTCTAGGATTTTTATGGTTTCACAACTTACATTTAAGTCTTTTATGCATTTTGAATTTATTCTTCTGTATGGTGTAAGTTGGTGATCTACTTTCATTTTTTTGCATATATCTTTCCAATTCTCCTAACACTGTTTATTGAAAAGACTCTCTTGGCTCCATTGTATGCTCTTGCCTCCTTTGTGAAATATTAATTGAGCATAATGGCTTAGGTCGATTTCCGGGTTATCTGATCTGTTCCATTGATCTTTATGCCTGTTCTTGTGCCAGTACCTAGCTGTTTTGATTACAGTAGCTTTGTAGTATAACTTGGAATCTGGTATTGTGATTTCTCCAACTTTGTTTTTCTTTCTCAAAATTTCTGCAGCTATTCAGGGTCTTTTTTGATTCCTATAAATTTATGGAGAGTTTGTTCTAGCTCTGTGAAATATGCCTTTGGTATTTTAATAGGGATTGCATTGAATCTGTAGATTGCCTTGGGTACTATGGACATTTTAATGATGTTGATTCCACCAATCCATGAACATGGTATATTCTTCCACTTGTTTATATCTTCTCTCTTTTCAACATCCTATAGTTTTCCGAGTACAGGTCTTTTGCCACCTTGGTTACATTTATCCCTAAGTATCTTAATTTTTTTGTTGCAATGGTAAATGGGATTGTTTGTTTAGTTTCTCTTTCTGAGAATTTATTATCGGTATATAAAAAAGCCATTGATTTTTGGGTATTGATTTTGTATCCTGCTACATTGCCAAATTCATTTATTAAATCTAGTAGTTTTTTTATGGAGTCTTTAGGGTATTTTGTGTACAATATCATGTCATCTGCGAATAATGAGAGTTTTGCTTCCTCCTTTCCAATTTGAATGCCTTTTACTTCTTCTTTTCTGATCACTATGGCTAGCACATCCAGTACTATGTTGAATGAGTGGTGAAAGCGCACATCCCTGTCTTATTCCTGTTCTTAGAGGAAATGCTTTTAGTTTTTGCCCATTGAGTATAATGTTGGCTGTCAGCTTGTCATATATGGCCTTTATCATGTTGAGATATGCTCCCTCTATTCTCACTTTGCAGAGAGTTTTTATCGAAAATAGGTGTTGGATTTTGTTGAATGCTTTTTCTGCATCTGGATTATTATCTCACTTCTTACACAAAAATCAATTCCAGGTAGATTAAGTGTCTAAACTTTTACAGAAAATATAGAGAATATCTTAATGATTTTGGAGTGGGCAAGGATTTCTTAAGTCCAAACCACAATGGAAAACTAATCAATTTGACTATATTGAAATCAATTACTTCTCTATAACAAAAGACACGATAAAGTGAAAAGACAAGCCACAAATATTAGTAACACATATAATCAACAAAGGGCTTATTTTTAAAACATATAAAAAACTACAAATCTATAAGATAAAGACAAAATCCTTAAATTCACAATGAAATATCATTTCATACCCAGATTGGCAAGAATTAAAGTATGCTTGACAATGTGAAGAATAGTTGAGAATGTGGAGCAATGGGAATTCTCATACTCAGTTGCTATGGATATAAATTGGACAGTCACTTTGGAGAGCAATTTGGTAATATCTGACAAAATCGAGGTTGTCCATATTCTTACAATACTGTGTCTTTCAACCTGGGAAATCACAAATCTATAGGTTGTAAAGTCTGTTTAACAACTAGTACTTTTTTAAATGAAGTATAGAATAAACTATAAAATACCAGCATGCATTGCATGTAGCACAGATTATTATATCACAGAACTTTTTTTTTTCACTTTTATACTGAGTGCTAGGTAAAATGTATTTCATACTGTGAGTCTGGTTAAAAAAAAAGCGGGGGGGTGGCTGCCTTTGAGAAGCTCATTTACATGTATTGGAGACAAGTATTGGAATTTTTCTTATATGCATAGTATAAGCAGCTATTAAGATGCATTAAGCCGAAACTGGTTTGGCTCAGTGGATAGAGTGTCGGCCTGCGGACTGAGAGGTCCCGGGTTCGATTCCGGTCAAGGGCATGTACCTGAGTTGCGGGCACATCCCCAGTGGAGGATGTGCAGGAGGCGGCTGATCGATATTTCTCTCTCATCAATGTTTCTGACTCTCTCTCTCTCTCTCTCCTTTCCTCTCTGTGGAAAATCAATAAAATATATTTTAAAAAAAAAGATCCATTAAGATAATGAATAAATTGTGGAATGCTCATGAATAAAATACACAGTAGTGAAAATGAATGTAGAGTTGCATGTTAATATGGATAAGTCTCTCAAAACAATGTAAAAAAAAAAAAAAAGCAAGCACATATGTGGAACATATTGTTTATCTGATGTTTAAAAACATGCAAACTAGGCCCTGGCCGGGGAGCTCAGTTGGTTAATGTTGTCCCAAACGCCAAGGATGTAAGTTCAATCCCCGATCACGGCACATACAAAAATCAACCAATGAATGCATAAATAAGTGGAACAAGAATTTGATTCTATCTATCTATCTATCTATCTATCTATCTCTTTTCTATCTCACTTTCTTTTTCCCTCTCTCTAAAATCAATCAATAAAAATTTTTTTAAAAACATGCAAGCTACATTGTTTACAGGTACATACATATGTAATTTTACATATACAGTAAAACTTACGTGAGACTGATAAATACCAAGTTTAAGATAATAGTTACTTGTCAGGAGGTAAAAAGATCTGTTAGGATTGGAGAGAGGGCTTTACTCATTTTTATTTGTAATGTTTCATTTCTTTAACGAGATGGTGGATACAGTTCAGCATTCTTTATACTTTTTTATATACTTGAAATATTTCAAATAAAAGTGAGAAGAGGCAATTATTTAAAAAGTAATTTAAAAAAAACAATGGGAGGAGAGAACACTGAAGCACAAATGGAGGCACCAAGTTTGGCTATGAAGAGAAGCAGAGAAATGGGTTGTTAATTAGAGGGGCTGGTATTAGTAAAAAGAAGGTTTTTATTTTTTAAGATGGATAAGGTCCTAGAGCATGTTGGTATATTTCTGGGAAAGAACAGTGGGAAGGAGGAGAACGGTGACTTCAGCAGTAAAGGGATAACAAATAAGAGCAAAGACCTAGACTGTTGCCTACCTCGTTTCTCAGCGGCCAGTCTTCCTTTCTTCTAGTGTGTCCTCTTCTCCAAAGCCCACTTAGTCTTCCTAAGACAAAGGTTTGCTTGTGTTACTCTGTCCTGGAGAAAACTTTCATGACTCCCCATCACTTGTGTCCTGGAGCTCACACTCCTCAGCCTGGCATTGGAGACTCGTCCCAGTTTGTCCTCAACTTGCCTTTCCAGTCCTCTCTCACTTTCCTCTACACGAGCACTCTTCTCACTCTGCCCTGAACACACCCAAGCCATTTTACAGATGTGTTGGCTCCCTGTTTGGAATGTGCCTGCCTTAACTTTGCTGGGAACGTTCTTTCATCTTCATTTTGTTTTTATCTCCATGTAATTTTTTCTTAAATATACCCAACCCACATTGACTTAGCTCTGAACTCTGCAATGTGGAGTATTTTTGTTGCACTTGGTACCTGTGTGCTGCCGTGTATTTTTATTCATCATCATTGTGTAATAGAAAGAGTACGGCTCTGGGGATCACAGACTTGGGTTTTTCTATTTCACATTTGTATAAAAATAATACAATTTTCTAATAGCAAACAATATAAACAAATACATATGGGGTGGGACAAAAATAGGTTTACAGTTGTGAGTACACAAAATAGTTTATTCTTATATTATTATTATATTATTTCCCATATGAATAACTGTAAACTTTTTGCCACACCCTGTACAATAAAAAGTAAAATTCCCCCTCCATATTCACACTTTGTCCATTTTCCTCCCCTGGAATTGACAACTGAGAAGGATTGGTATATAGTCAATATATATTCTCCAGGCAAATGCAAATCTAGAGAAAAGAGACTTGTCTTTTTTTAATTGAATGATAGTTCAGTGGCCTGTTTTGTTTATTAAACAGGTTATTATAGGTCCTTCCACATTGATACATACAACTCTACCTCATTTTTTTAAAAAAATAAGATATGGGGTATCAAAATGTATTTAACTTGATGGATATTCAGATTATCTCAAGGTTTTTTTTTTTAAAAAATATGCTTTTATTGATTTCAGAGGAAGGGAGAGGGAGAGAGAGTTAGAAACATCAATAATGAGAAAGAATCATTGATTGGCTGCCTCCTGCACACCCCCTAATGAGGATCGAGACCAAAACCCAGGCATGTGCCCTGACGGGAATCAACCATGACCTCCGGATTCATGGCTCAACGCTCAACCACTGAGCCCCACTGGCCGGGTGATTATCTCCAGGGATTGTTTTTGTTTTTGTATCTCCAGTTTTAAATTATGTTTATAAACTATGCTGTGGTGGCTATCCTTGTGCCTACATTCTTGTACAATGTGTAAGACAGTTTCCTAAAAGTGAATTGGTTGGGTTAAAATTGATTTGGTTTTGAATCCTGGCTTTCCCAGCTTGCTTACTTTAAACAAATTAATTCATCTCAATCTGCTACCTCATCTGCAAAAGGAAATACAATAATTCAGAGTTTTATGAAGATTACCATATATGACCTAAGACACACCAGCTGTCAGTCAGGAAATTTTAATTTCCTTTTTTCTATAAGTTCTTTCCAATTAAAAAGTAAGCTTCACCCCTAGCTGGTTTGGCTCAGTGGATAGAGCATCAGCCTGCAGACTGAAGGGTCCCAGGTTCAATTCCGGTCAAGGGCACATGCCTGGGTTGCGGGCTCGATCCCAAGTAGGGGGCGTGCAGGAGGCAGCTAATCAGTGATCCTCTCTCAGCATTAATGTTTCTCCCTTTCTCCCTCTCGCTTCCTCTCTGAAATCAAAAATATTTTTTTTAAAAAAAGGTAAGCTTCATGAGGGGAGGGATGCCTTAAGATCTACATATAGGTCATGTTACTCTTTTTACACTGAGTGAGACTCAGAAAGTTACCCACTTGCCAGAATGTTTTCCTTAATCCGCTTTTATAACCTTTTAGGATCGCCAAGGATCCAAGATTTGAACGATTACCATGCACACACAAAGGAACCTATGCAGATGACTGCTTAGTACAGAGAGTAACTCAGGTATCGTCAGTTTTTAAATGCTTACTTTGTGTGCTTAATGAAAAAAAGAGAGAAGGCAAACTATTGTCTCCTGAATGTTCATGGTCAGAAAAGTAGCTAGGAATTTAAATGGTAATGTAATACATATACATATACATATACATATACATATACATATACATATACATATACATATACATAGAGAGAGAGAATCCCTTCATAGTAATCGTAGGTGCCCTCTTTTACTTGAGGGAAGTGGATTAGAAATGTATAGGATAGCATAATGGAAAGATCATGGGTTTCAGATATTAGCACCTGCATTTATTAGGTGTGTGATTTGGGACACTTACTGATTCTTTATTCCGTAAATCTTTTCTATAAAATGATTCAAGTGAGTGAGTGTAGATAATACAGTTGACCCTTGAACAACGCCAGGGTTAGGGCTCTGACCCCTTGCGCAGTTGAAAATCTGTGTTATTGTCTAACTTTTGACTCCCAAAAACTTAAGTTGTCCCTTGGTATCCATGGGGGATTGGGTTCCAGGACCCCCTGCAGGTACTAAAATCTATAAATGCTCAAGTCTCTTATATAAAACTAGTGCCCCAATGCACGGATTCATGCACATTGAAAGGAAATTAATTAGAAGGTGGCCTGCGGGGCGGGACTGGGCAAGACATGCCCTGGAGCCAACCTCTGGTGGTCCCTCCCTAACCGGCTGCACCTGGGGCAGCACCATGGCTTGAAGTGCTTCTGCGCAGTGAGCGGGGTCCCTCTGGCAGGTGGGGTCCCTCAGCCTGGCCTGCAGGGATTGCCCGAAACTGGCTCTCTGACATCCCCGGAGGGGTCCCAGATTGAGAGAGGGCAGTTCTCGGGTGGCACATCCTGGAATCGGGCTCCCTCCTCTCTGGTTCCGGGGTGCATCACCTGAGAACTGCCACTACCAGGTCACCGCAGCTCAGCAGCTCCTGCATTGAGTGTCTGCTCCCTGGTGGTCAGTGTGTGTCATACCTACCGGATGGTCAGATGGTGGCTTAGCCTTTTAGAGATAGATAGATAGATAGATAGATAGATAGATAGATAGATAGATAGATAGATAGATAGATAGATATGATGTGGATCAATGCATGCAGTCCGTCCTTCACATCTGCAGACTCCCAACTACAGAACAAAAACAATACAGGTATTTATTGAAAAAATTCACATATAAGTGGACCCAAGCAGTTGAAACCCATGTTTTTCAAGGGTCAATTTATACCAGATTTCACCTCTCTGAATCTAAAATAAGGTTCCAGTCCACTTACTCCCCACAAAGGAATTTTGTTCCTCTCTACCGTGCCCAACCCAGAAGCATTTCTCAGTTGCATCTAAGTCTCCCAGGGTGCCATCTTACAAAGACCCTGGAATCAGTTGGTTTTTTATTTCTTGGCAGCCACCACAAGAACTTCTGCTACTGTTTACCCTTATAAGAGCCTGTGGGTAATTATCTTCATTGAATGACCACATTGTCAGCCCTTTAGCAACTCCATTCATGAGCATGTCCAGCATTTCCCTTAATTTCCCACAGCACAGCTGACATCAGGCTACAACTTGTCATAAAACTCAATGGGAGGTTTGGGTATGAGAGAAGTAAAGTACAACATAAATTACCTCGCAGATGGCAGCTACATATTGCTTTCAGAGTTGCTAGGCTAAGACCTGTCCTGGAGATCCTAGTCTGGCTTCAGGACCAAGAGGGCAGCCTACCTCCACCACTAGAAGGCCTCAGAGTAGGCCTTACAATCCTGAGAAAGGCAGAAGCTGTGCCCTCCAATCTTAGGCACTTACTCTGCCTTTGCATAGAGTCCCTTGGGGCATTTTCCCAAAATCAAGGAATTTTCTACCCCAGATGTAAAAAGTCATTTCCACATATGAGACAAAAAATGGATTACAACTCTTAGCTTTTCTGTCTTCTCCCCCTCAAGATTCTCAGAGCTACATTCAGCCCTGGACAACTTATTAATAAACATGATAACATTAATAAACATTAATAACTTTTATAAACATGAGCTCCTCAATCATAGTATCTACTCTACAAATTGTTATAACCTTTGCTATGTACTGTGAAAATGAATTAATTCTTCAGACTCGATAGTGATTGTGCCATTATAGTATCACTAAGTAGACTCAATAAACTTTATGTGTATCTCTTATAGCACAAGTGTTATATTGTGGCCACAGTTGACCGGGACCTTAAACGAAGAATCAGGAAGATCCCTGGAGTTCCCATCATGTACATTTCTAACCATAGGTGAGAACTTCCTCTTGGGGAAGTGATTAAAAGTATATAGTTGATATCAATTAAAAATGAGGTCAGATTATAGAAGAATTTAAAAGAGATTGTTGTATCAAATACTTACATAATTGTATTTGAAAACGTGAGACAAAATAACAAGAACAAGGGCAAAAGATAAGGTAGGATTTAGGAAAGAGGCAGACATTCACATTGTTGCAATATGATTAACAGAAGAAATAGAGTGACATGTTGCTTTAAATGCAAAGCAGTAATTTAATTCAAACTAATCTTTTTGGCCAGAAATTTTTATTTTAAAAGCCTAGTGCATGTGATTAGCACCCCTCTGGGAATCTGCTTATTTATAAAAAAAAAAAATGAAAAGCTGCTCTTTATCCTTCTTGGATGTTCCCATGCCAGTCCTCAGACTGTTACTGCCCAGCCTCTCAGCCTGGGGAGAGCACAATATAGAGGGAATAATATGGGCGAGGGAGTTGCGCTTACCTGGACTCAGTGCCCAGCTCCCCCCGTTGGTAACTTTCTGACTTTGAAGAATAAAGAAAAGACATTATAGTCAGCATTTTGCTTCAGATCACTCACTGTGATATCCCTTTAAAATGTTCTGACTGACAAAAAGGATTCACAGTGAGGGGGTAAGAGCATCGCTGTCAGTAAAGAATGGGTTTTTAGGTGGCTCCTGGACCCGCCTTTCTTACCAGTGTTAATTTTTTTTCCTGATTAGGTACAACATTGAGCGGATGCCAGATGATTATGGAGCCCCTCGATTCTAATACTTAAAAGACAAAGTTTCTCTGCTTTCCTTCAACCAAATTTCTCTTTCGCAGGTTTATTAAACATGCTACAACATGCATTGTTGCGCCACTCACACATTTGCTGTTATGAGCTGAGAACAGTTAAATACACTCACTTTTTGGTGGTGTTTTGAAAATGATTTTGATGTTGTTTTGAAAATGATATTTTGTATCATTTAAAATTTTGTTACATCTTTTTATAAATCAGATGATTGCTCACAACTTTCATGGTTGTTGTTTTATTTTATTTATTCAACAATACTTATTAAGGTTATACTCAGTACTTAATAAGATATGGTCCTACCATCAAGACACTCTTATTATGTTGGGAAAGGGAAACATGTAGATGAATAACTACAGTAAAATAATATGCTAGAATAAAAGTATGACAACTAGCCAAAACCGGTTTGGCTCAGTGGATAGAGCGTTGGCCTGCGGACTGAAGGGTCCCGGGTTCGATTCCGGTCAAGGGCATGTACCTGGGTTGCGGGCACATCCCCAGTGGGAGATGTGCAGGAGGCAGCTGATCGATGTTTCTCTTTCACTCTTTCATCAATGTTTCTAACTCATCTCTCTCCTTTCCTCTCTGTAAAAAATTAATAAAATATATTAAAAAAAAAAAAAAGTATGACAACTAGAAACAAAAGAGGAGAGAATGATTTCTTTCTGCTTGGTTGGGAAAGGGAGGGAGGAAAGGCTAGAGGTAGTAATGTTTGAGTTAATCTTTAAAAATAAATAGGTCCTTGCCTAGTAAATGAGGTAAAGAAAATGAGGTGCAGGAAACATAAAGGCATGGAGACAGATATTACATGGAATGAATGTGTTTCACCTGTTCAGAAGCTGCCAGGAGATTTTTATAACTAGAACGTAGGGGGAAGTTATCTGTACCCACATCTGGGACTCTAAAGGTACGAGGTGGGAGGGAGGGGGGGCCTTATGTGACTTGCTAAAGAGTTTGGACTTGATCTTGAGGTCAGTAAGGAGTTATTAAAAATTTAAATTGGATAAATAACATGATCAGAATAGATACTTTATTTTTTTAATATATTTTTATTGATTTTAGAGAGAGAAAGGAGAGAGAGAGAAACATCCATGTGAGAGAGAAAGTGATCAGTTTCCTCCAATACTCACCCCGACCAGGAATCGAATCCGCAACCTGGGCACGTGCCCTGACTGGAATCCAATCAGTGACCTTTCGGTTCATGAGATGATGCTCAACCAACTGAGCCATACCGGCCAGGGCAGAATAGATATTTTAAATGATCACAAGGTAGTGTAGGAACAGACAAATAGATCACTAAAACAATAAAAAGTCCATGAACCCCTATATATTTATGACAATTTGGTATATTGTAAAGTTTGTATTTCAAGTCTAGAAAAAGGAAATTGTATTAGAAGGCCAAATAGTGTGGAGTCATTCTACTAGGGTTAGAATCCTGATTTTACCAATTAATATCTATATTAGTTGGGCAATCTACATAAACATTAGGTGCCTTTCTTGCAACCTCTTAAAATGTTTTGAGTCCTGGCCACTGTGGCTCAGTTGGTAGAGTGTCATCTCATACACTGAGAGGTCGGAGGGTCAATTCTGGGTCGCAGCACCTGCCCAGGTTGCCAGCTTGACCCCCAATAGGGGACATGGGGGAGGCAACTGATAGATGTTTCTCATCCATGTTTTCCTCTCCCCTTCTCTCGCTCTAAAATCAATAACAACATTTTTTAAATGTTTTTTGGGGGGAAAAGTTTTGTTTAATCTACAAAACAACCCAAATAAGATAGGATTAGATTGAACAGTACCTGCCACAAGTAAGAGTTATTCAATAAATGTTAGTGATTATTGTTACAATGGCAAGTTGGCTATCCATTTGAAAAACACTTTAGATTCCTACTTTATATCCCTTTATGAGAATACATTTCAAGTGGATCAAAGATCTAAACTTTATACGTGTGAATCTTGATGCGTGTGAATATATTAAGATTATACAGTTCTATGTAAAGCAATTCCCCCAAATATTAAGACAAGTGACTGGCCAGAAGATTTTCATATATATATATATATATAAAACAAGTGAGGAAACGGGTAGTCATGGAGTGCTTATAAGAGTGCAAATAGGTATAATCATTTTAGACAGCAGTTTGGCAGGATTGATTAAAATAAAAATTGCAGATATCCTGTGAGCCTAATTCTGGTGGGGGTTTTTTTGGCTATTTATAAGTATCACATAGGTGATCTCCTATAAAATACATGATCAGTGTGTTATAAATGTGTAGAGAAATATCTACAAATGTACAAGGAACTATATAGAAGGGTGTTTAGTGTACCATTTTATATCAGAGAAAAACTGAAAAGAATGTAAATGTTCATAAAAGGATCCTAACTATGTTATGTCTAAACTATGAAATATCATGAGCATTTAAAAGAATGGGGTAGATTTAAAAATGGTCGAAGGACTTATGTAGACAGTTCTTGGAAGAAAATATGCAAATGGCCAACAAGCACATAAAAAGATGCTCAACATCACTAGTCATTAGGGAAATGCAAATCAAAACCACAATGAAATGCCACCTCACACCTATTTAGGATGGCTACTATTAAGAAATATGCCCTGGCTGGTTTGGCTCAGTGGATAGAGCATCAGCCTGTGGACTGAAGGGTCCCGGGTTTGAATCCAGTCAAGGGCACATACCTGGGGTTGTGGGCTTGATTCCCAGTAGGAGGTATGCAGGAGGCAGCCAATCAATGATTCTCATCATTGATGTTTCTGTCTCTCTTTCCCTCTCCCTTTGTCTCTGAAATCAAAATATATATCACAATACCAGATATCAAGCTATATTGCAAAGCCACAGTTCTCAAAACTATCTGGTACTGGCACAAGAATAGACATAGACCAATGGAACAGAACAGAAAACCCAGAAATAGACCCGAGCCATTATGCTCAATTAATATTTAACAAAGGAGGCAAGAGCACACAATGGAGTCAAGACAGTCTCTTCAATAAATGGTGCTGGGAAATTTAGTCAGATACATGAAAAAAATGAAACTAGATCACCAACTTACACCATACAGAAAAACAAACTCAAAATGGTTAAAGGACTTAAATGTAAGATGGGAAACCATAAAAAATCTTAGAAGACTCCATAGGCAGCAAAATATCAGACATATGTTGTAGCAATATCTTTACTGATACAGCTCCTAGAGCAATGGAAACTAAGGAGAAAATAAACAAATGGGACGACATCAAAATAAAAAGCTTCTGCACAGCAAAAGAAACCATCAACAAAACAACAAGAAAGCCCACTGCATGGGAGAACATATTTGCCAGTGCTATCTATCTACACTAATAAAAGAGAAACATGCAAATTGGTGTCACTTTGCTACGCCCACCAGCCAATCAGATGAGTATACAAATTAACCCAACAAAGATGGCGGTTAATTTACATACACAGGCGCAGAGTGAAGACTGAAGGCTCTGGCCCGAGTGAAGACTGAAGAGGCTTGGCTTCTCTGCTGCAGCCGCAATGGAGAAGCCAAGCGGCCATGGAGCTGGAGGCTTGGGTTGCCCCTGGTGATGGAGGAAGCCAGCTCCCAGCCCGCCCTGGCCTCCGCTCAAGGGAGAGAACAACAGCAGGCACAGCCAGTAGCCTGAGAGATCAACACAGAGGGGCATCTGCTCCGAGCCTCTGACGCGGCTGGGGGCAGGCCCCCAGCAGACACACACACACACACACACACACACACACACACACACGGGGCAACTGCTCTGAGCTCCCAATGCAGCTGGGGGCAGGTCCCCAACAGGGACAACACACACACACACACACACACACACACAAGGTGCCTGCTTAGAGCCTCAGACACAGCTGGGGGCGCCCCCAGTTGGGACACACACACACACACACACACACACACACACACACACGGGGCGCCTGCTCTGAGCCTCTGTAGCACAGCTGGGGGCAGCCACCAGTGGACACACACACACACACACACACACACACACACACGGTGTGCCTGCTTCGAGCCTCTGTTGCCAGACTGTGGCTTAGGCCCGCTCCCCGTAGGGAGGTTAATCAGGGGAAAAAGGAGACATGTAATACTTTAAACAATAAATAAATAAAAGAATAAATAATGTGTTGACGAGGATGTAGAGGAATTGGAACTGTTTTGGTTTTTTTTAAAGGCAAGTTACTTTATTTAAAATGTGGATTTTGCGTTACTAAATAATTTGGAACATTTTTATGACTGTAGTTGAGAATAATTACTTTCTTTTAGATTTTTTATCTAAAATAATTTTTTAAATTATTTTTATTTTCTATTATATAACTTAATAAGTGAACACCCCAATAAATCTTGCACCCACCCAACACCATGCCTAGTTATTAGAATATGTGAAGAATCCTTGACACAATGCACATTGGCATTATTTCCGAGGCCATTTATGGACTGTTGTTCCATATTTTGATTGTTGTGATGGTTACTCAAATATATTGATTTGTCCAAATGCATTGAAATGTACACAAAATGGGTGCATTTTTTAAAATATGTTTTTATTGATTTTAGACAGAGGAAGAGAGAGAAACATTGATCTGAGAGAGAAACATCAATCAGTTTCTTCCCATATGCACGCCAACTGGGGATGGAATTCACAACCTGGGTATGTGCCCTGATCTGGAATTGAACCAGCAACCTTCCGTGCACAGGATGATGCTCAACCAACTGTGCTACAATGGCCGAGGCAAAATGGGTGCATTTTATTGCATGTAAATTATACCTCAGTAAATTAAAAGATAGAAAAGACATGCAAGAGCCCTGACCTATGTAACTCAGTTGGTTGAGTGTCTTCCCATGCACCAAGAGGTTGCCGGTTCAATCCCCAGTGGTCAGGGCACAATGGGCGGTTGCACACTCAATCCCCAGTCAGGGCACATGCAGGAAGCAACCTATTGATGTTTCTCTCTCTCTCTAAAATCAATAAAGACATCCTCAGGTGAGGATTTAAAAAAAGGGGGGGGGGTAAAATACTTATGAGTTGTACACTGAAAATTGCTAAAAGACAATACAAAGAAATGAAAAGACATCCTGATAGAACAATAAATGTTGCAGAGATTTTTTTTTTTAAAAAGACATGTTGTGTTTGTAGGTTGAAAAATTCAATATTGTTAAAATGTCCATGCTACCCAAAACTATCTACAGATTCTTTGTAATTTCTATCAAAATCCCAATGA